GTCTCTTCATTTGTGACCATGGATGTATAAAGAAAAGTAAATATAACGTTGGAGGCAGGGCCCTGCTCAGTGGTGCATGAAGCCAAAAAAAATTTGACATCTTCATGTATAAACTGACCAAGATCTTCTGCATCTTTGGGCCCATGGAACAGGCGCAGGACCAACTTAGCCAGCCGAGCGGCTAACTTCCACTTTAGCCCTCCATGAATTTAAATGGGAATAAAATGATTTCACTGTGTGGATCCTTAGACTTTCAAGATGTTATCGGACCAAATGGTTCAAATGCAGATAGTGATATGAGTCATTTCGCAGGGGTTTTGATGCTCAAAAAAAATTGTAATTGTAATTGCTAATTTGCAGACGTTTCTTTCACAATGAGAGTCTATGGGAACAATGGCAATCACGTGACCGACCCCAAAGTTGAGCCACAGTGTGCCTACTCTGTCAAATTGGCTTTAGATTCCAGCACTCTTTCCACAGATCTGTTTGTGACACTTCACAAAGGAGATGACAAGCTAGGAACTCTGTTTTCCCTGTCTACACATCAATGATGAAGACTCTGAACATCTTCACCCTGGACTGCATTTTACAAGAGGTCTGTTTTTAATCACCAAAAACACTGCTTGCGTTCAGATGAAAGGCCAAAATGCACAGAAAAAATCTATGTTTTTAAATATACCCGTGCACATGTGGACAAGGTCTTAAGCTGCATCTCATTTAACCGTTTTAAAAGATAAAAGTCACTATATTTGAATGCATCCCTCCCTGATTTATAAATTGCGTGCACACACACAGACAGAAAAAACAACTGTATCAAAGGTTTCTTTTCACCTTTTGATCATCGAAATATCTCCAGACGCTTATCTGGGAGCAGAACCACAGAAAGTATAACTGTACACTGCATTTCAGTATGCAGAGTGGTCTGAATCCATCTCGTCCTTTGCAGGGGAAGATAAGAACCTCCTTCATGAATAAAGATGTTTCGGCATCCTCTCCTCTCTGTGTTCAATGTGTACTTGTTACAGCGGCCATTATTTATAGTCCCACTAAGGCCCAGAGTGGTGAGAGTGGGTCTCATGGGGGATTGGGAAGTGGAGCCACTGCTACCTATAGTGGGAAAGATATACCACCTCACCCCCGCTGAGAACTTCGCGCAGGAAATGAACTCATAAATCAAGCAGTAAATTGAGTGTAGGGCTGTGCTTACTCATCTCAAGAGGTCCGCTCCTCTTCCTCCACACACCCCTGCTCCTTTTTACTGCATGACTAATGCAACGCCGCAACTTCTCTGCCCGCGCGTGTGTCTCTCGCTCTGGTAAACTCTTATCAAAAAGTGTGGATTTTATTTTCAAGTAAACATCATAACTCTGGCCTGGAGGCTACAGTGAGTGTGGGAACATGGAGGAAGGGGAAAAACTTGGGTCTGGAAACAAGTGCATGAGCGTCTTGTCCTACAGCTGAACTTCAGCGCCTCATTGTGATGCCACTGGTGAGAGCTGTCTGTCGGACACAGCCTGTGAGGAGAGTCTCCCCTGCCCGCCTCAGGCTATCCTGACAGTCACAGGCCCTGTCCGGAGGAATTAAAATCTCTATTTATCAGGACTCGACTGAAGCTGTCTGGGGACTGGCCGAGAAAATGGCACACAGTCAGCCTCTTCCAGCAGCGGGACTCTGATGGAGAGTTCAGCACACGGGGATGTGCCCATGCAGGTTGTTTCTTGACAGCATATGTGATGTAAAGCACACTTTGTTTCACTTTGTTTTAGTGCTGAGCCAGCTCCTGCATTGTCCTGAATGTGAATCATTCTTTAATTTTATGCTTAAAAGAAACATCGAAAGAAAAATATAAGACTGGTCCTTGAATACAAGCAGGGTACGTGCACGAACAAGTGTGTGTGGATCCACCCTGCTGAGCGTTGCTCCCCATTAAAGCAGGGACTGTGACGCCTCCTGCAGCTGCTCTCCATCACAGCAGCAGTAGGCAGCATTTCCTCTGACAGAGAGAGAAGACAGGGGGAAGGAATCGGCATCACTCCTCCACAATAAAGCCACAGCATCTGCAGAGCTCAGATCAGATCTCTACTGACCTCCATTGGTGAAATAATGTACATGTTAGGGAGGCTGCCACAGTCATTGAGGAATGGAAATATTGTAGTTTTACTCATCTACACAGAGAACTATGTCTCCACAGGTTTACAGTGTGACCCCTTAGAGGGCCCAGACCCCTAGTTGTGTTTAAAACTTTACCTCGGTACTCTAAAGGTTCAGTAGATAGCTTTTATTAAAATAACTTTTTGTCATATCTGCTGAAACTGTCACTGTATCCCAAGACAGGTGATTTAAGAAAACATCATGTTCCTCTGGCTCCTCCTAATGCTTTTAATGGCATTTGCAAGAATCCACCGCACCTGAACGAAAACAACCAATCAGAGCCAGGAGGAAACTCTAACGCACGTAAATCACTGCTCACACGCTGAACCGCCAGCAACAGCATACACGGTAAAACAAGTGAGCAGAAGAGAACCGACGACGAAAAGCTTGCTTTACCTTTCATGTTCACAGATGACCGACGTCTACTCTGATTGTCTTAGTCCAGGCTTCATGCAAATACCATAAGGAGCACCAGGAGGAGCCAGGAAAACCATGTACTCATGTACGACTGTCAGAATATATATATATCGTAGTTTCAGCAAATATGACGAGGGTTTTGTTTTTTCATGAAAAGTTACTTATTGTAGCATGAAGTACATTTTACTGATAATACCTCTGTTTCTTTTCCTTAAGATTCTGAATTCAGGAACTTAATTTGTGGTGGAGCATTTTGTCTTACTTAGATTTAAGGGTCTCATATTGTAAAAGTCATATTTCTATGTATTTTTTTTATTATAAAGCAGGTGTAGGTGCAGTATAAATACTGTTTAAGTATCAAAACACTAAATCCACAGAGAAAGGTCACCAATCCATGTTCAGAAATTGTGCCTTTAAACGAGCCATCAGGACTTTGGTGAAGTTGTGATGTCACACCTATACTATTTAAAGATAGAAACTGCTGCTACAGTGGCATTACAGTCATTCCCCAACTGCAGTGACAGTGCAGAGACCTTGAGACCGAAGGTGGGGAAGACCCAGAAACACTGACCAATCAGAGCAGACTGGGCTTTTTCAGGAGGGGGCTTTGAGAAACAGACGCTAAAACGGAGCGTATCAGACAGAGGGTGAATACAGGTATATTCAGACAGACAGTATGAGAAAAATAATGTGTTGTATTTACATTCAAGTATGTAAACATGTTCTAGTAGAAACTCCAAATAAATTATGAACCTGAAAATGAGAATAATATGGGACCTTTAAATAAAGGGTCTGAATACTTTTCCGACCTCTGCCACTTATAAAGCAGTGCGGTCACCACAGGGGTCAGGATGTGAGGGTTATAGGGTCCATCAGCTGTGATTGGTTGGCAACATCAAACTAAACATAATTAGTATAATTAATATTATAATACGAAAGTGATAAAGGAAAAAGTTAGCTCCACCAGACACTTTCACATCAGCAGGTTATTTGACCCCAGTGTGAAAGGGGGTTGATAAAACCGTTTTAATTTCAACCACAAGGGGGAGCCCTCACACAACACCAACACACCTCATGTATCATGTCGCAAAGTTTTCCAAATCTTCCCTTGCATCTGTCCAGCTGTGTTGGTGGTTATGTCAGTGTTTGAGCTTGTACTCAGCTTCCAACGTTATAGTCGTGTTTTCATTCGGTTTCCGTCAGCTGTAGTGGGAGCCGCCTACAACCCCGACTCCCTCTGCTTCATCCCTGTTTTCAGTCTCCCCATTTCAAAGCCCAGCGGTCTCCTTCTCCCTTCCCCCCTTCTCACTGTGAGCTGCGTCAATGCGTCACAATACCACCGGAAGTGAGACGCTTTGCCCTCAAAGTACAGGCTCGGCCCTGACTTCAGTCTGCATGTATTAGATTGAACCTGAGTTTTCTTTTTCAGAATGGTAGATGTGCATCCTATTTGGCTGATAAGCGTGCGTTTTGAGCATTTTTACAGTGGAATATATATTTATTCACTTTTACACAAAATAAGATTAATGTGTACCCTAATGGAATTTGGTCATTTCAGCAGCTAACAGTTGATTGAAAAAAGATTAAAAATGAATAGAAATAGATATATTATGTGGCATAAGAGGTGTAACACACAGTGTTTGGGAGTAATTAGTTACATGTAACTAGGAACTCAGCAACACTGTTGCAGTATATGAAATAATTAATGCCACGTGATATATCTATTACAATTTCTTTTTATTTGATTACATGTAATGAGTTACATGTAATTAAATTCCAAAATAAATGTATTTGTAATCCATCAGTAATTGAATTACAGTTACAAATCAAAATGTTGGTAATTTCAAAGTGGTTACATCTAAATATATTACTGTGCAGAAATGCCTTCGTTTGGCAGATCCTATTTCTTGACATTTTTAGCTTTATTGCTAAATTAAAAACATTTGTTAGAAAAGTAATTAATTGTAATAAGATACACAACTTTGTAAATTACATTACATATCACATTTTTAACCAGGTAACTAGAAATAAATCTGTAACATATTGCATTTTAAAACTAACCTTCCCAGCACTGTATGAATGCAAAGTATGAAAAAAATAATTAAGAAAGTATTACACGGTGGTGATGTTAGAAAATAGTTTCATGTTGAATAATTAAGTTATAAAACAATCTTTTGTCTTTCTAAGTGTCCTTGTATTTATAGATTGTACTATTCGGGAACAGTGCACATCAGTATGTAAATGTACAATATCAATTTTAAAATTACAAATTTTCGTCTGCAGTCATTTGCCAGGATTTTAAAATGACCCTAGCCCACAATGTTACTTAAATGTAGTTGTTTTTTTTAAAATCAATCGACGTTTTATTTTGAAGGCATTCACCGGACGTTCCTGTTTTAAATGCAGTTAGCTTAATGGCGGTCTTGCAGGGATTTAGGAATGTGGAGACCAGCAGCTACGTCACCCACAAACCGCCTGGGGTGCCGTCGTTAGAGAACTTTTCCAAAGGCTGTGAGTTAGTAAAAACAAGCCCTTCGGTAAGTTGTTTTAATGAATTCCTAAACTAAAGAACTTAACATTTAATGTACACAATTGTTGGTGATGTATAATAATGTTTTAGTTACATTGTTGTAAGTTTTGCCCAACACGGTCACCGTTCACTAAAAAAATGTCCGTTACCGTTAGCTTGGCATTCAAGCAGAGGTGCGCGAGGTAACGTTGCTTAACTGACATCTTATGTTTTAAAGTGGCGTTAAGTCCTCAGGAAGACATCTTAACCGTTGCACAGGCAAGTTGAAGCATGTGTGCTATTGTTTTAGGTCGAGGTCAAGCAAAGCGGATAAAAAGCCTGCCCCAACATGAAGTGATTGTTTCGGAAACGTGATGCAGAGAGATTAGCGGCTGTTAGCTAGGAAACCATTTGTCGCTAAACCTCCTCGTGCTCATTTGCAGGTATGTTAGGTTGCGTTTTACTGGTTTCACACACTGCTCAAGTGGAGTGATTGACTTCCAGATGCATTGCTGTGTCTCCCATAGGATATAGCCCATCTCCCACACACTGTAGGGCAACATTTGCTGATTGCAGGCAGTGTTTTGATAACATTTCTCCCCGCAGGGACGCTCGTCTCTGTCTCCATGGTAACGTGGCGGACGCCCAGCCTCGGCGTTGTCGCGTTGAGCTGCCTGCAAGGGGGCGGAACTGGAGAGCAACGACGGGTCGATTTCTTTCTTCCCATAAAGGCAAAATCAGTCGAAGATGGTAAGGAGAGCACGGCTGCATGAGGACAGCACTATAGGTAGATGGAGACTGAATCGGCAGTGGTGGAATCTGTGCTCTGCTGTTTAACCTAAAGCAGATGCTGCCGGCTGTCTTCTTTTCTCCCATTCTCCCTTCCTGTGATTGTTTTGTGAATATAGGGCATCTGATGCTGTGTGAATTGTGTAGGTTAGCATGATATGAGTGTTTTAAATGAGAATTTAAAATATCTCTTTGGTTTTTCTTTCAGCCATTTCACGACGGAGCATACTACCCCTACACCGGTGACACCCAGGGGACCCACTCATCAGCAGGGATCCCATCCCTCCTGAATTCCCCGCTCAGCCAACACTCTGCGAACGGCCACTCTGTACCTGCACCCAGCATGACTCCATCCAGCGGAGCCTCCACTGTCCTTCCTTTCAAATTCCGCCCTCGCAGGGAAAGCGTGGACTGGCGGAGAATCAACGCCGTGGACATAGACTTAGTTGTGAGCCAGCTGGACGTGGATGCCCTTCAGGAGCACATCAGCAGTGTTACCTTCTGCAGCCTGGATGGGGAGCGATGTCAGCGGTGCCAAAGCCCCGTGGACCCAGCTCTGATCAAGCTCCTGCGGCTGGCCCAACTCACGGTGGAGTGGCTCCTCCACTGCCAGGAATTTCTTACCCTCAACCTGCATGCAGTGGAGGAGAGGCTTACAACCACTGGCAGTCAGCGTGAACAACTGCTGGCTCAGCAGAAGAAGCTGGAGGAGAAGGTGAAGATGCTGACCAGCGAGCTCAAGCAGAGGAAGAAGGTTATCCGCACCCAGCAGTCCCTGCTTGCGCCCCGAATCATCAACAGCCAGAAGGTACTGCTGACACACTAAACGCTCACCCTCTGGGGGTATCTGTTACCATTTGCATTTCACATATGTTTGGCAGGCAGACAGCTAGTTCCATCACCCCCACCCCTTTCGCTCCTCCCACCCAGGGTCCCCATTCTGTCATTGTTCCCAAGATCTATTCACAGCTCCGGCTTTGTGCATTTCACATCAAGGTTGGAGGGAAAATATTGTCAGAGCCTGACAACATTTCGGTTTTAAAATGGATGTTATGTCCTGTAAAACCTGCCGTGGATGCTTTGTGTTGATATGGTTATAACAAGCTTTCTTATGAGACTGGAAGAAAAGGATTTAGAGCTGCAGAACAGATGGTGTCATTTGGTGGCAATTAGGTTTTTTTTTAATCCACTTACAAAGGGGTGACAAGAGCAGTAATCAAGATGACTGGCTCACTCCCACCTCCCCCACCCTCACATACACACGTCCTTGTAGGGCATTTTGTCCTCTTATTGTTGCAGAAAACACTTGTGTGTAATAGACACTGCTGGTTTATCTGTTGGATCCATTTGCCTGTAAACATTGTCTCTGTAAGCATAGCTCAGTTACCATTAGGTTATTTTTAGCACAAATCAAAAATCTCCCTCTGCTCTTCAAGTGTACGGCTGCCGCTGACCTAACCAAGCGGTTGCCAAGGCAACAGATATAGTGTGTCATGACAGCATGTGGTTGCTAGGTGTGCGCTAGCAGCTCAGCTAACAGAGGTGGCTCAATAATTGATAGAGAGGCTATGTGTTTGTGTCTTTTGAGGACCTTTGGCATTTGTCGCTTGGCATAGGTCCACATCTCGACCAAATACACACACAGGGCTCATTTAAAGACTAATTCAATTTCACTCCCAATTTCCACAGTTATTCCAAACCCTAATGTCATTGAATCACTTACAGACCTACTCATTGTTGTGGCACACTTCTCCGTGTGGCTGCCTTTGAATCTTTGCAACCATATGGTAAGACAAGATATCAGTAGCAGCAGGTTTAACATTGAATGAAGTCACTGGCACAATGAGCATCTGAGTGAAATGTAGCGTGCGACTTGTGTGTGTGTGTGTGTGTGTGTGTGTGTGTGTGTGTGTGTGTGTGTGTGTGTGGAGCATACGCAGCATCTATTCTAGTTAAGGGTTAGTGAGCTGGAGTGTGGTGACGCCTGCCGCAGGGAACTCATCAACGTCACTCACGCTATCTGTCTGTTTGAAAACACATGCCCGAACTCAGCTGATGCTCCTGTTTGGAGCATAATCACTGTCTTTATATTGACCTGGGCTTTGTCCGAGACCTCATTCACTCATTCGTAGTGACTAAACAGACACACAGTAGTTTATAAAAGGAAGTATTTAGTTCTGCAACCAATGATTATTTTCATTAACGATTAATATACCAGTTGTTGTCTGGAATAACCAATTAGCTTAGTCTATAACATGTCAGATAATGTTGATCAGTGTTTCCCAAATCCCAAGATGATGTCCTCAAATGTCTTGTTTACATGCTAGATACTACTTTTTTGTTACGTTGTGGGGCTTTTCCAGGGCAAAACATATGTGCATATATTTCCCACTGAGTATTCAGTCACAACAATGAAGGTTGCAACTGCAAATTTAAATATTAACCCCTGTGTTTGCTTATTTCTCTTAGTGTCCATGTTGTGAAAAATCCTTCCTCAACTCCTCGTTTCTCCAGAATCACATGCAGCGCCGCCACCCTGATGAGCATGAGATGGGTAAGTCGACCAGTCAGAAAGGTTTGTTGAGCAGTTTAGAGTAGGAACAGAAAGATAGTGAGTGATAATGCGTGAACTAAAGGTAGGAGTCAGATAATGCACTAAACAATTTGAGGATGGAGTCTTGAAGATGTATTAGCAGGGGAAATATGAAACATCCCCCACATTGGGGTGTTTTATTGTTTGTTGCTTGTGTGTACCTCCAGAGTTGCGGTCGGACAGTGAGAAGAAATCTCAAATTGAAAGGCTCAAATCTGAGATCGGCAGTCTGAAGGAGCAGATTGTTCAGCAGCAACAGGACCTGCAAGCCAAAACTGCTCAGGTAGTAAACCCAGACAGTTGTGACACAGCTGAAACCAGTAGTGAATTAATTTATTAGTTGATTAACTGTAAATTTATTTGGCACTATTTTATAAGCAAAACTGTAAAACTTTCTGTGGTTCCCTTGGTAGACTGAATGTCTTTTGGTTGTAAGCTGCTGGTATATTTGGCACATTTAAGTTTCTACTTTCATGCCAGCCATTTGTGGTTTCATGGTGACCGAGCTCTTTTTATTTTTGTTTTGATTCCAGGAAAAAGAGCAGCAGTCCAACTACAAGGACCTGCTGAGAGAATTGGACCGTTTTAAGGCTGAGGAGATGGCGCGCATGGATAGAAAGATAGAAGACAGCAGGGACGGCATGCGCAGGGAGATGGAATTTCTTTACACTCGAAACATTCAGGCTCTCAATGTACGAAAAGGATGCTTTGATAAAGTAGCTTCTTAGTAGTGTTAAGTTACATTACCTTTGTTGGGTCTTCAGAATATGTTCTCATTTAGTGTTTCACATATCTTTTCATTCATAGGAAGCCAATCAGAATCAGACTGCCAGGCATGAGAAATCAGCCAGCCCTGTGCACTCACAGCCAGAGAGAGATGTAGACAACTACAAAGAGATGCAGATACAAGCCATGCAGAAGCTGGAACAGCAGCTGAAGAAGCAGGTCAGTGGAGAGGGGAGATACTGTTTTAAAACCTTAAAGTAAATAAAGTTAATTTGAGTACAAAAATGTTTGCTCCTAGGATAAAAAGTGGGAATCCAGGCTGCAGGAAATAAAGGCCCAACATGAATCTGAAAAGAACCAGGTATTTATCATAATTATTATGCCATCAAAGCATCTGTCAGTTGTCACAAGCTTTTATTAGAAGCTGGAAAATGCATCCTCTTCCTGTCATCTTCCAGCTGCTGAACGAGCTGAGCAGAATGCAATCATCTGTGTCCGAGCACCAGGAGAACAGCCACAGGCTTCAGCAGGAGATGGGCAGGAGGCTTCAGGAGAAAGAGCAAACCATCAAGGCTCAGAGGGAGCAGGTTAGTACTGACTCACTCACACACAGCCACAGCCATCACCGCCTAGTGTGATTATGTCGGGAGAGGAAGTGAGGCGGAGGGTCAGCCCTTGTTCAGGATATCCTGTATTTGCTACATGGACTCAGATTGTGTTGTATTGAGACATGATAATACTGTACATTTGACGGGAGCCATAGTGCACAGGAAGAACTGGAATAACTCTACATTTTTGTCTGGTTACTAGTGGTAACAAGTGTAGTTTAACACTACAGGTCCCAGAAAACACTCCTTTAGCAGCTGGTTTGTCAGAAATACAACAAAAGAGCAGCTAGTCTATCAGTTTACAATCTCAAGTTGTTTTCATGAAGAAGACATGTAATAATCGGCCTTTTTCCATCATGCCATGAATCAAAGTCTGATTTCATGCTGTCATGCAAATTAGGGATGCACTTCTGGGATGATACCGATGTTAAAAATAACAATTTGGCTGTAGGTTGATAGTCGATATGATGTGTTTTTGCTGTTTGTTTGTTTTTATTTTGTTTTTTTCTATTCCTCTTACTGTGCCAGGGCCCCAAAGAAGTCTACATTGGAGGAAATAACTAAAGTGTTTTAAAGTCATTCAACACCCTTTATTACACTACCTTTAATGAGCACAAATTCTGTCACACAAAATATCTTTAAAAAACAGTTGAAAAGCCCTTTTCCTGTATATAATTTATCATAAACAATGAAAACATGAGTGTAGCTCTCCTTCAAGCAACCCTATTTATTCTTTTTTTTTTTTTTTGCAAGAAACTAGATTTTACAAGATTGCATTTGAACCTATGAGGAGAACATTAAAATGTACCTTCACTCAATACTTATTTTTACTGAACAGAGCTTCAACACATCATAATGTCACTCAGTGCAACCTCTGTTAGTGCTGCTAACAGCTAATATTAACTAGCTCTCCTCCTGCCAATTTCCACATGCATTTGTTGTTCACAAAGTGACATGAGCATTATCAGGGGAAGTTTGTGCCTTGACACAACGCCTCCTTTCGTGCCTTCGGCATCCCTTGAAAGATTTCCGTGTATTCCAAACAGGTTTTCTGTTGTTCCTAGGACGACAATATGTTGTTACTTTTGAGCCTTGCTTTTTAGCCTGCGCAAAATTGATGTGACATAACAGAAGAACATCGGCCTGTGCCATCAGTGAATGCCATCTCGTAGGCTGATGGCAGTTAAGAAGGCAATATCAGTGTTTGATGGCTAAATCAGCGCATCACTATTTGAAATGGATACACTAACAAAAAATGACTTAAACTAATGAGTGCTCATTTTTTTAAACTTTGCAGATAAGGAATATTTCCTCAAACCCACCCACCAAAATAGTGGAAGTACCAGGTATGGATACACTTTCAGTTACTTTTTTATCAGATGAGTTTATCACTGTAGGAAATAGCTTGTATGATCTTGATGCATTCATCATATCCTCTGTTTTTCAGTCATTGTGAGTGCATCAGCTCCGGAGCCCAAACCAAAGAGAGTTGTACTTGGTAAGTTAGTTGAGAGCAGCTATGAAAATAAAGAGAGGGTGAGCATGTGCTTTCTTGCATGAAGGATTTACATACAGTGCTGTCACCACATTAGTACCCCCTCCTATCTTTTAACACATATTTTATCTGACTCCCTGACTTTTAATGACCTTTGACCTCATGTGCTGTCCAATTAGAGGAGCAAATCTCTGCTCCTAAGCTGGATCCTATACAGGAGCTGTCAGAAGAGGAGAAAGGTAAAAGAGGCAGTAAAACCAACATAGCCGGTTGACTGCATGCTGTCTGCATGGATGCATCAGTCTGTAGTGGGCAGCCTTTACTTTAAGTGTGTCGGGACTGAGATTGTCTCTCTCCACACTTTTAGAAAGCAAGCTCATTGTCTGTGACTTTCATTGACGCCTGCCATGTCAGCATTGCTGATCATTGCATCTATCCATCATCTTGTTGCCTTCTTTGTGGCAAGTAAACTTGTAGACGTTCTCCTCTTCTGCCTGCCCCGCTGCAGTCACATCCATCTATCCAATTGAAACTCCAGCATGGAGCTTGCTGTGAAAGTTGGCAAATGCATGCTTTTTTTTCTCCTTGTTGCTGCCTGTGATTGGAACCTGATTATCCACAAATGGCTGATCAAGGGAGATTTGTTTTACAGACTCGAGCAGCTTCTCTGAGAGGAAGCCAGTGGAGAAGAAGCCTGAGCCTGTACCAGAGAAAAAACAGAAGGTGTCCAGCAGTGCTCTGAAAAAGAACCCCAGCATCAAGAAAGAGATGCGGCCAGATCTGGAGCAGGCTCTTATTGAGAAGCTGTAGAACCTGGGAATAAAGTCTGTAAGTTCACACATTTATGTAAACCCCAGGAAGCCAATGAAGTCTTGTACAACATGTAGTGTAAAAGAAAATGCTCTTCAATTATAATTTCCTGTAACTGTCCTCAGGATCAGAGTGGTCTGAAGGACAAAGAGCTCACTTCCATCCTGGCCAAGGTGCATTCAAAGCGGGAGAGCATTGCAAAGGGGATGCCTGAATACTGGCGCCATCGGGAGGAGTTAGCCAGCACGGTGGAGCAAAAGCTGGGCGGCGAGAGGAGAGGCAGCGACCCTGCTCCTGAGTCACAGGCCAGATCTAGACAATCAGTTCAAGGTGAGTCATCAAAAAGCCTCTTAACACATGAGATCATCTCTATAAATTCTGACTCTTCCCACAGTCCAATAGTAACCAGACTGTACGGCTTTGTGCTTTCAAGAAGTTCAGCTAGCTGTATTAGCAGCTTGTAATTGGTTTTGACTGCGTGTGCATCCAACTCCATCAGTCTAATCTGTGGTAGCTTGTTTGCCGCCACATAAGCTGACTTAAGCTCTGACACACCGTCAGCGACCAATCTGCTAATTGTGTTAATATTACCTGCTTTGTCTGCGTGCAGTGTTGCAGATCCGTCCTCGATCCAGCAGCCTGCCCTCCAGAGCAACCCAGGTGATGTCTGGACCTGCAGCCAAACAGCCCAAGACCCCTCAGCCGGCACCAAGGATCAAGACCACCACTCAACCCAAGACATCTACACCAAACACCAAGACCGCTCTGAAGAGCTTCACATCCAGGTGAAGAAAAAACTGTGTAAAATTAAAGTTTATTGTAGTTAAGAGATGGCAGGGATTTTTCTAAGAATGGCTGGAAACTGAATTGGCACAGGACAGAAACAGCTCCTCGCCTGCCATGTTCTTGAACTAAAATAGTCTCTCTGCTGCTTACACGTACATCCAGCCTAGCCCCGTCTTCTGGCCTCTATTAATGTTGCATTACCACCATATGCTGGACTGTCCTTTGCCCCATCTACTCAGGCATTGCCATGATGTGTTGAAAGGAGCAAGAGGAAAATGTTCCTGAATGCAGTGCATGTGTGGATAGTGAAAGTTACTGGTGTTTCTGGTTACAAATTAGATCTGGCTTAAATATTAAACAGATAATGTTATGGAAAATGAAAAGGTTGACTGTTGAATGATTAGTAAAAATCTCTCTGTGATTCTTTAGGACCCCTCCTTTCAGCTCAGATGAGGAATCTGAAGAAGAGGACACAGATATGGAGGAGGAACAGCCTCCAAAAAAACAGAGGGGAAAAACACCACAGCCCAGACTGAACCAGGTCCAAATCAAAGCCAGTCCAGTACAGGCCAGGCAGGTGCCAGCCAGGCATTCATTCTCCTCCAACCCCCAGCAGACCAGGGGGTCAGTGGGTGGTGTGACCAAGACAGCAGTCACAAAGATAGAGAGTGATGAGGAGGACGAGTGGTCAGATGTCAGCGAGCTGCAGGAGATCGACCCAAAACGTCTCCAGAGTTTCAAAGACCAGAACGGCAACGTGGAGAAGAGAAACTTTGGCAAAGGTAAGAATTTTGAATTGTATAGATCATCAGATATTATTTTGAAATGTAAACTGTATTAATTTTACGAGTTGTCTGTTTCTTTTAGAGAACAAAATCAACGACCTGGCCAGAAAAATGGAGAAGCAGTTTGCAGAGAGAGCAATAAAGAAACCAGCAGGGGGTGTCAGCATCTTACCAGAGAGGAAGGACGAGGTTCGGGAGCTCACGGTGAGATTCACATCAGGAAAGGGACCTCAGTGCATGGCTTTAGTTTGCAATCATTTAATGTTATTATGTAGTAAAGCGTCAGCCTCAAGCAGGTCGTACTGGACGGTAAAATGTGTGAATAATGTTTCTGTGTGGTGACAGTACACAGATCTTGAGGAGAGCAGTGAGTGGGTGGTCTCCTCCTTAGAGGACAGACAGGAAATGTCCAAAGCAGCTCAGGGCTCTGGACCAATGAGGAAGAGCCTGGACTCTCCCAGCACCAGCGTCTGGGGAACCTCAACAGGAAAGGGCCCCAAATCAGGTCAGTTCCCTTAAATAACTTCCTTATGATTTATATAGCAGGATATGTTTGAGTATAAATGCTGTTAATTTTTACAATAAGTGATGATGATTATTTAAGACTTGTCTGTAAAAGTCAACACAGCTGTCTTGTGCCCAGGAGGTCTGACTGAAGCTGGAACAGGAAGCACCCTGAAGAGCAGCCTGTGCTCCCTCAGTGACATCAGTGACTCCGAGGACATTAGCAATAAATACAATAAGCACTACAGCTGATCAGGTGATGTAGCTCTACGCCAAGCACAGACACAAAGACCTCAGTCAACTTGTCTGACACCTACAGTCCATGCCAAATAGCCATATTTTATACTGTTATTATATGGAGAGAGCAATACTTGAAGGATAGCTTTGGTACTTTTAAAAACACAGGATTCCCTTTAAAAAGACATCTAGACATTTGTATAGAAAAGACGACCATTTAATCCACAGATTAGAGATAAATGAGATTAGAGCTTCAATTGACTTGTCATTTTCAGCCTCACTTTATGCCTTGTGCCAATCTTTGCTTGCCTTAGACCTTTTCAGTGTTCATCTTTAGATAGACTCTTTTTTAAACATATCCCACACTCCAAATGAGATGCTGTATGTAGTGTGTGTAAAATTTTGTACATCAAATTTTTATAATGTCTTCATGTGTTAAATGAAGCAATGAGATGTGATTTTGTACAGAACATATTTATACAATCAATAAAAGATTTCTTTGTGAAATACATACATGAACATTGTTACATGAAACAACCTGGGTCATAAAGGTTCTGTTTTTCTTCAGCCAAGCACAACTAACCAAAAGTGATTTAATATGAATTTGTCACATAATTTTCTTCATATTTCACATACATAAATGGTTTGAATACTCCCTCTGCCTCTGCCCACCCGATCCAAGTGTGTCTCATTAAATCACTAGTAACTTAAATGTTGTGGGAGAGCAGGTATAAAACCCTCACTGTCAGTGCTTCACTCTGACTGGCTGACTCGGCCATGAAACTCATTTGTAATATGAGCAACTGGGTTTTATGGGAAGTGACAGCTGTGACCGCTTCCTGCTCCTTGGATATCATTAGTTCCTTTGCAGAGGTCCTAAAACATACTGCACAAGTCTTCTGCAGTACACGGTGCGTTATTTACCAGACATTTTCAGCTCTTGCTTTTATCAGGATGGCATCTAAAGTTGACTAGTGATCAGTAATGTGACTAATAGATCACCAGAGATGCAGAGTATACACAACTCTTTCATTTGTCTGATTTTGAGTGCCATCTTCTGGAGACTCGGGGGAAGTTCAGGTGCAGAGAATAAGTGAACAACTGTATGAAATAGGAATTCCTTTCAGTGTTCATTGTTCAGGAGGTTTGCCTGCGAGCTAAATGATCTGTAGAGGTCTCTTTCTCATCTAAACTAAGGGACGCCATGATTTAAACCAGTAAAAACATAGGAAAAAAAACAGTTTTCATTGAAAAATCCGTTTCTTCGATGCTGTTTGGCTTGTCGCTGAGAGGCTGCTAGCCCAGCTCCCACTAATGTATGCTCGCGTTTCTCTCTGATAACTTCAGATACAGACATTCAGGAGGTTTTTACCAGGAGGTGAATTATCTGCTAAGGTATCTTTCTGTCCAAAACAAACAGACCCAGTAATTTAAACCAGTATAAATGCTGAATAAAGCAGTTTCATGTAAAAAAAAAAAAAAAGAAAAAATCAGTGTTTGTCCGATGCTGTTCGGCTCAGCAGAGGCAAAGGGGATGTGATGCTACAGATGGGTGACAGCAACGAAATGACACGGAGCATGTCCTTGATTAAAATGCCATATTTCTCTATGTTTTAACATTGTTGGAAACATACAACACTGGTGTATTCATTTTAAGACATTTTAATGTGGTAAAGATACATATGATCCCTTGAACAAAAATACATTTTTTTAAAAAGGTGATTGTAATGCTGTTTTATATACAAAGTATCTCTGGTTATCTGTATGTCACAAGACTGATCAATAATGTATAAAAGGAAACTGGTTACAACCTAAGACACACCCTGATGAAGGCAAGACAGCCAGAAAGGTGAGGTCAGGTAAATGAATCATGCAGGACTCTTCAATTTCAACAGATTTGTAAACAGATACTAAGTCGTATCATGTGCTCTGATGCCATCTAGCTGTAAGAGAGTGCATGATTTCTCTTTTAAACTGGAGCTTTTGGCCTGTTTCAAAAGAACAAAGCAGACAGACAGACAGGAAAGAATCAAAGGCTCAGCAGACAGTGGGTGCTCCCTGATGAAATAGCTATAAATACAAAATGTTAAAAAAAAAACAACACCTGGATCTGGATAACCAAGCTTTGCTTTAGCAACAGAATTCATATTTCCAGCCATGAGCACCTCATTAAAGGAGTAGTGTGGCATTTTGGGGAATATGCTTATGTGCTTTCTGGCTGACAGTTAGATGAGAGGACTGATACCACTCATGTCTGTGTGCCAAATATAAAGCTGGAGCCAGCATCTGGTTAGCTTTGCTTAGCATAAAGACAGGACACAGGGCTGAACAGTTAGTCGGCTCTGTCTGAAATTAAAACAGAGATATAATGTGTTAACTAATGAGCTGTAGAGATGGAAGTAGTCCGATTTTGTTACCCAAGCTAGCTGTGTCCCCCTGTATCCAGTCTTAATGCTAAGCTAAGCTAACCATGTGCTGGCTCTGGCTTCATATCGAACATACAGACATGAGTGGTATTGATCCTCTCACCTCATTCTCAGCATGAAAGCACATCTCCCCAAACTTCCTTTGAAGTCTCATAAGTCACTGTCTCAGCTCCCCTCTCACTCAGACGAAGCTGTCCCTGTTAAAGGTCCTGCTGGTCCTCGTTGTAGCTCTGGTTGCCCGGCTCTTCCTGCCTTCATAAAACAGCGGTGGCACAAGAGTCACTCTGGACGACGAGGCTGGCAGCATGTAGGTCCGTCTGGTCCGGGCAGTGGCGTAAGTGGCTGGTCTCCGTGGCCTTCCTGAAGAGCTGTTGATATAATTGAAACAGGAGATACACGGTGACGTTCATCAGTTTTTCTATTCATAAGTATAAATCTAAAGAACAAAGGCAGTACAACTCTGTAAGTGAAAGATTAGAGGTTGTATATTTACCTTGATGGGAGACCTTCTTTTCCAGAGAAGTAAGTCATCACCGTCCCCCCAGAGAGAAGAAGCAAGGAGCCTCCCCAGCCAATGAAAATTGCAGCTCCAAGTTCAAATCTGAACAGCAAGTATTAAGGTATAGTATTAAGGTCAGACCTTCTGCACTGTTAAATCCCTCAGAGGGACTTTGTAATAATAACCCTACTGCTTCAAATGTACTCACTTCTGTTCTCTGAAATGTGGATCCAAGAACTCTGTTATGACTTTGTTGGCCCACCACGAGTAGGTGATCATACCACAGAATCCTATCAAGAAATATATCTTACTTTAAACATCCTGAGTGCATAACATTCGCACAAGGTTGACACTTGAAAGCATCTTAAAAAAACGTTGTGTTTACCTGAAACCAGATAGGTTATACCCCCAGCGAAGGTCACCCTGGCGTTGGCGATGTCTGATCCACCTATTTTAGTGCATTTCATCCCGACGAGTGTGAGGACACCTCCGAAGAAACCAGTGATGACGGCACAGACAGCGAGTGCTCTGCAGGCGTGTAGGAACGCTGAAAGAAAACAGGTGATACTGAAATGTAGCTGAACAAAATGAGTATGTTAAATGTACCATTGAAGCATTTAAAATTATATAAAATTCAGCGCCCTCTCCCCACCCTGATAATATTTGTACGGTCACTAAATCTTTTCAGCTGTTCAAGTTCATTAAAAACTTAAAGGACTGTTTATTCAGAGGTTTTCAGAGTCTCCTACCAGGCAGAGCCAGCATCGAGGGGTAATCCTTGCAGTCAGACACCCCTGTGGTATCTGAGATGCAGTCCTTCCACAGGTTGGAGTAGTAGTTGGAGGTGGTCAGCACGATGCTGCCCACCTCGGAGAAAGTCCAGTACTCTGTGGGGAGAGTGGAACACACCAGGATCCAGCCACACAGACAGGACACAAAGCAGCCGATCTCCATGTACATCACCACCGTCCTGTACTTCATGGTGAGTGTTGGTCCTCGAGCAGAAACCAGTAGAGATCAAAAACTACCACGATGTGTTGAATATTGGGTCCAAGTTTGAGCTACTCAGTGTGGGAAACTGTGAGCGCTCCCTCTATGTCACTGCTGATGCGCAGGTGTCTCACCAGCAGTGTTGTGTTGTCATCTTATCTTTTTGATGATTTTGCCTCGTAAGCATCCTTCATGTTCCCAGCGCTCAGGCAGAAATGGTGGAGGATGACGTCTTGTTGGATCAAGCTACCATTTATTTATTTTGCTTCCTCATTGTTCAAAAATCAACCTTTTATTTTCTTTAAGCACATTTTCTTCTTTTTTTGACCTCACTGAAGCTCAAAATGTAGAAAAATATAAAGTACCAATCCTCCTATTCACCAGTAACTGGACGAAACACAGAGGCACTGTGTAATTAAGAATAAAAAAAATATTTAGTTTAAAAAAGTAATCACAAAAGACGGACACCATTGTCTTTGCATTGTTTATTTTTATGTATACAAAACTGATTTGATGGCTTTTATTGTTTCTTACTTTATATCACACTGTACAAATGAAAAACTGTCGTCACACACTTGCCATTATACTGTAGCTTCTCAGTATTGTTCCTGGAAATTTGTTCCTGTTGCACAATTACAGACAAATTATATGTATTATTTTTAAAGCATATTCTGATGTTGTTTATTTTTTATTTATTTATTTACTTTATTAATCCCCCTGAGGGGAAATTCAGTGTTTTCACTCTTGCTGTCAATTACACACAGGTCCGAAAGACACACACATGCACAAACAGGACCTATTCATGCACAAAGTGGAGAGATGTCAGAGTGAAGGGGCTGCCCTTGGTCAAATATTATTCATGTTTGTTTATTGACTGTCCCTGGGCCTCCTGTCATTTTGCCCTTGGGAAAGCAACATGAGTATCCCTGATTTAGACCCTCATGTAGGAAGATAAAATCAAGAGAAAACATAACAGCTCCATAAATAAGTATGATTTTGTATTGCTTTTTTTTTTTTTTTGCAGTGTGCATTTGGTCCTCAGTATGCTGCTTGTGATTTTTCTGGTTATGACTGATTATATGTTGCTTCCTGAGCTGGACAGTTAAGTGAATCTGTAATGTTACACAGTCACAACAGAGGCCATCATGTAGGGAGTGTTTCTGAGGTCAGTTGACCTTTTTGACGTTCGACGGATGTGCACTTTTTCTTCTCTTCGTCCACTGGCAAAGGGAACCATGGGATGTCTGCTGTAGAGAGAGAATTGTTTCCAGTCACAAATAACAGTAAACATTTGTTAGTTAGTTGAATGGTGTGTTAACTAACCTTTTTGGGTGGTTAACTCTGCATGCAGTTGCACACTTTACTGTACAGCCGAGTAGGATGAGGAAACTCCCCACCAGGCCGAGGTATAAGGGGGTTCCAATTTCATAGCTGAGGAGAAAATAGTTCAGATTGGCCACTGACTTTGATTCACTCACATTTGCCTTTTAACAAGGGTGATTCAAAGGCCACATGTTACCTCAGTTTTGACGGATCTGCTTTGCTGTGTAAAAAAGCCGCAACCACCCTGTTTATGTATAAACAATAAGCAGCCACGTCTGATGCGCCTGCATGAGGGAAAAGCCGATGACGCATGGGAAAGAAAACAAGATGAACCAGTGAGTTCCGAGAAGCTGGTTTCAACACAGCTGAAACTTTGTGAGTGCAAACAAACGATACTCACAGCCGAGCAGATGGAAAGCAGACGCTGTTATTAGCATGCTGTCGTTACTGCTCTGGTCTCCGCCGATGTGCGTGCACTCCATTCCAAAAAATGTGAGCACTGTGCCGATGAAGCCGAGGCAGAGCCCGCTTATCAGGAGCCCTCTGACTACCTGGATATATGCTGATAACACACAAACTGAGGTCATAAATTCATTTATTCATTCATGTATTTTACATTCTATAAGCACTGTGTAAACAGACTCAGAATCTGTGAGTGGACCCACTTTTGACTGTCCACAGCACCCCAAAATCCACACAGTTCACCAGAGCGGTGGAGTCCTCATAGCAGTCCCTCCACAGGTCAGACCAGTACAACGCTGTCACCACAACGGAGGAGCCCCCTTGACCCCCCAGCTGGGCCATCCTCCAGTGAGAAAATAGATAAAATATATACACTTACATCTTGTATTCCACAGTCTTGTTTGCATGGGATTACTGCAACCACAACTTTTCTTTCATTTTGCCCTTCTAGATATTTTTTCCCCATGAGCAGAGCATCATCAACATATAAAGATTAGTATTACCACAACTACAAAGATACATTGTGAGTATGTCAGACAGATATTCAGCACATTGAAGGAGCAGTCCAGTGAGTTAGTACTGCACTTTCATTAAGTTAAGGGGCTCACAATAGCCAGATTCAAAAACAGAATGGTTGAAATTGAAGTAGCAGAAGCTGAGATATTCTGTCTGAAACACTGGATCCTACATATCCCATAATGCAACAAACTGAGTAGCTAGTCAGTTGATACACACACAGGGACTCAGGGTAGAGCACGGCTCGGGTTGCATTTTCCTGACCGAACCCGACCCGAGTCTGAGACAGTTCTGATAGATTTTTAAGTCTGAACTCAACCCGAGCTCGACACAGTTTGTTACCTGACATAGTTATTGTTATGGACAGTGTGTAAATGACCATCAAAAGGCTGCTGTTACGCACAGTCACACACGCCGCTTGCACAGCAGCGCAGCACAGCACTGTACGCACACCCAGTTGGAGCGGAGCCTGTGTTGCGTTCAGGCATAAATAACATATTCCAGCACTTGAATAAGCCATAGCACAACACAGCAGCTTGTCAAGTGGGCCGAACCTGGACTGAACCCGAGCAAAATTTCTAATTTGTTATCCAAACCCTGCCCAGGGCTCGGGTCGGGTATCCACACTCTGACTAGGGAACCCAAAACAACGAATAGAGAATCCTGGATTCCAGCATAATTTATTATTTCTTAAAAATTGATTTTCAGCTTTTAAATTTCAACATTTATCATGAGTTTGTTACACTACTGCCAAAAATGATAAAATATTCTTAAACTCAGAGACAGTTCAAATCTCAAACTAAGTTTTTATTCTTCTTTTACCATATCCAAAAGTTGTTTCAAAGTGTCACCACAACAAAATGAAAATGCATCTGAAATTAATGAACATTATTCGCACAGAAAATCCCTTATTTAAGAAACAAGAGAAAAGAGTAACAGGAGCACTCCGATCATGCACATTTACACTCGTCAGTTGAGACACTTTCTCCCTGTAGTTTTCAGAGCTTAAGTGCATCAGGTCCATCTCTCTGTTTGTGTCTTCTAACTCTTATTTGCTTACCTCCAGTGGTCCATTGCAAGGGTGCAGCCCACAAAGCCCCATCCTAGTGTGCAGAGCAGCAGGCCCAGGATCTGAGCCAGTCTCCTCCACATCCCTTCAAGAGCCTTTGCTTATGAAGCACAAATAGTTACTAAGATGTTTAGACACTAAAGAGGGTGGAAAGTAGAGTCAGTAACTTCAGAGTTGAAGGTTTTTAATGCCTTTCTACCTTTTAAAAGAAGAAGTCATTTAAGAAAATAAAAGCTGGAGGAGTTTTTCCTCAGGACAAAGCTGCAGGTCCAGTCCTCTTAAAGCAGCTGTCTGTTTGTGTGAAGGTCTGAATAAGAGCCAAGCACACTCTGTTTACTGTCAACCAGACCTGATCAGCCTGGTGGAGTTTTATTTGTTGTTTTAATGGCTACACAGAGGCTGCCAGTCACAGCAGAAATGGATGTGTGTCTTAGTAATGTGTTATATTGAATGAATGTATATACAGTGTCTACTTGTGATGTATTATAGATGATGAAGATGAAAAAGAGGCATTTAACAGTGAAAAAGATTTGTCGTACAATTTCTTATACAAAACACATACTGAATTTGTATAAGATACAGATTCATAACTTGAATAGAAAAGCATCAGATCATCAGTCCGTCACATTTAACATTTGTCCGTCACGTTATGACTCGCGTTTATTAAATATAAGAGTTTTTGATGAACGGTGTAGTCTCACTCCCTGAGCTGCCCGACAATGATGACACTGTCCGGCTGCTGCCGCTGCTCCTTGAAGTGGACAAAGTTGACACGCTGGACCTCGATGAGACTCCAGACTCTGACCCCGATCCTGATGTTGATGCTGATGCTGAACTCGACCCTACAGATCCTGCAGACCTGGTGGTTCGCCCACTCTTCGACGACCGCCCCGACTTGGCTGTGCGTCCAGATTTGGATGTGCGCTCTGATCTTGAGGAAATTCCAGTCAGGTCTGAGCGCTCGGACTTGGACGACAGCTCAGACACGGAGGACAGTTTGGTCTTGGAGGTGATCGCAGACACGGAGGACAGAGCTGTGGTGGACTTGTTTTGCTCGGGGTCTGGTACTGGCTGGATGGTGATTACCCTGGAGAGAGAAATGCATTTCTGTTAAACATGACAAGGCTACTGAACCCATCTTAGTTCCAATCTAGCAGAAATTAATTTATTGTTATATGTGAGCAGCTGTGTCCATTTTGATCAGTCCATGTAGCCTCCAGAGTGAAAGTCAGTGATTGTTGGTCCCATCCACCACACTGCCCGCCCCCTACTTGGACTTTCACCTCCTTAACTTGCGCTGACCAACCGCGTTTCCCTGCAACGCCATCAGGCGCCATTACACAGTGATGTTGCCCAGCTGTGTATCATGCCGACCTGAAAGGAGCTTTTTTTCGACAGTGTCTGATGCTGAACTCCCTGTCCAAGGGTTAGGGGGGTTAGGATGACATGTAAGGTCAACTTGTCAATCAAGCCAGAGGTGACATAAGCAAGATCAATAATTGTACCTCTGCTTACTGGGTTATGTTTGTGTCTCTTTCACTCTCAGCAGATGTCTCAGAAACTTCACATGGAATCTTCAGTGTAAGAGCAGGCTGCAGATGGATTTATGCTCCCTGAGCTCCTTCTAGTGTCGACGCTGATCCACAGCAAGCACTTTTGTCTTTTCTCATTTAACCATCAAAGCTGTTAAACACCAGGCCTCTGTTTGTTTATGGCTGCTATGGCTTTAGGGTTATATTTCATGGTGAGAGGGAGTGTACCCACAGTGCACATCTGCACACTCCCACCTTTAACCTGCTCGACACTAACACAGTTATGCATTTAGGATTATGAGTCATTCCACTTGAGCACACGGGACGCTGGTATTTATTGAGGAAGCGGAGAGAGGAGTTATATATTCACTTCCCCCGACATGTTCCAACAGCAACATGTGTCTGTACTCACGTTGCCTCTCCTCCACAGAGCGGCTTACACACTGACCACAGGTAGAAGAAACCGCCAGTCATGTGAAAGGCTGAGCCGACCCAGCCGAGGAACATCGGCGTGCCAAGGTCATACCTGTCGGTGTGTGAAGAGGTGTGTTTTTATTAAAGTCATTCTTGATGAAACAGGTTAAAAGTTAACCTTAAAGTGAAACTACACCCATTTTAAAATGTATACATTATTACCATGGTCAAAGACGGTCCAAAAATAATATTGAACATAAAAAAGAGCTTAGATAAGAGCACACGGGGGTGTTCCGAGTATATGGCTATGTGTATGTAAGAAGTATGGAAGAGTTCACTTTGCTAAGGGGAATATAGTTTTGAATTATTTTACATTACTGGTAGAGCTAGGGAGTCGGTGGCTTAGTGGGTAGAGCAGGCATGCGCCCCAGGCTCGAATCCAGCCTGTGGCCCTCCGCTGCATGTCATACCCCCCCCAGCAACTCCAGACTTCTTGATGACATTACAAGTTTGACTTTGAGAGAGAGTAGCTCCTGTTCTCAAATATTGATTGAACTTTTCAGGGCTGTGGAAATAGCATAATTATTGTGATTACAGCCTCATAGTTGACTTACTTAAGTCCGTCAAAATCAGGGTTGAAGTATTCCACAGAGACATATTGTGCATAAACAGCGTACCCACATGTGGACAGCAAACCTGAAAGAAAGCATGTTGACAGACAGGGAAAACACTTCAGTTGCACGTGATAGTTGGTTGAAACAAGAACTCTGGTTTTAAGTATTTCTGTGCAGGATTTTTAGTATCAGTATCAGTTTACTATGTAGGCTAATGTTGCCTTTAGTCATAGAAAAGGTCATCAGTGTTTCCCAACTTTGGAGGTCACGACCACAAAATGGGTCACAAGATAAACCTGAGAGGGTCTCAAAATGATCAGCAAAATAAAAACTGAACTTTGGTTCAACTGGTCACCAGGGGCCTTTATTTGGGGCTCACAAACCAGAAAGGTTGGGTAACACAGATCTGTATTATGACATTGCTGTGACCGAATTCCAGCCATTATCCTGTCTCATATTACAAGACAATATGGGGAAATGGATCAGATGCCCCCTTAAGAATAGTGTCTACTTATTGCTGAATTAACATTAAAACACCAGGTTTTTAATGTTAATTCATAAAGCTAAATGCTATTTTAAACTCCTAACATGCTCTCAAAGACCATGCAAACATGCTAATATTTAGCAAATATAATGTTTACCTGTTAGTTTAGTGCTTCACAATGCTAACCTTTGTTGATAAGCACTAAACCCAAAGCTAACGCTGAGGGTAAAGTCCTTGGTTAATGAAGTTTTTGGTCATAAACAAAAGTATTGGACAGGTTGATCTGATAAGGGTGCTAGAAGTTACGTTACACTGCATTCTGCATGTCAGCAACACACACAACTTGCACATCTGCCAACTGTCCTCTTACTAAAACTTTGCTAAAATTAAAATTACCGCTGGTTACGTGGCACCATCCACCAATGTAGATCTTCTTGTACTTAGACCGGTCTTTCCCCCCAATGAAGGTGCATTCCATACCCATCAGACTGAGCACGAACCCCAGCATGCCCAGGGAAAGAGCCGCCATCAGCAGGCCTCGCACTATCTGGATGTAGCCTGGAGTCATACAGTAAGACAAACAGACATTAATGAGAGTCTAGATGTCAGTGGGTTTGTTAGATAGGGTGGAAAACATGTTACCTACCCTCCACAGACCAGAGCATAGGGTAGTCGTAACAGTTGCTGACAGCAGTTGAGTCTGTAAAACATGATCTCCACAGGCTGGACCAGTACCAGGCCACCTTGATGATGGAGGACCCCCCCATGCCCCCAATGGAGGTGATCTTCCAGCCTTCCATGGCCATGGTGCAGGCCACGAAGATCCAGCCCAAAACTGACATCAGGAAACCCCAGATCTGAACCACACGGACCTGCATCTCGTGAGTTGATCTCCTATTTAGATTTCAGATCCAAGGAAACTTCTTTTTCTAAGAATCAACTTGTCCACAATCCAATTTTGATGCCTTTCTCTTTTTCTGTCTTCAAATGGCGGTCCCTTACTCATGCAGAAGATGTGTACATCCTGAACAGAAAGTCCACTTTTCATCCAAATTCAAGCAGAAGCTCGTCTCAGCTGCTCGTCTCAGAAAAAGCAGAGGATGAGCGCATCACAGGTAAGAATCAGGGGTGTGCTGTTGTTTTCCAGGTATTGTTTCACATGTGGGTGAGAGACAACAGTCACTCAGGTTCCCACGGGCCACAGTTGAGTGTTGTCAAGTTTGAATCTGGACTGAGAGTGCTCACCTCAGCATTTATCTCCAATTACCAAAGCAGCTTCATGTCTCCATAGGACATTGCCTCATATGCACACACAGGTTAAAAGAAAGAAGATTTGGTCATAGCATGAGTCCATGTATTAAGTATATATACAGTATGTGGTTTTCTTGAATTATTTCACTGTCCTAAAACAACGTTAAATAATCCTGCAATTACTGCCCTGTAAGGTCAGTTAATATAATACAGCAAAAAAAGCTGTTTGGCATTGGCAGAAAAGATTTGGCAAATTTCTCATGGGTGCAACCCACATACTCAGCTCTGCTGCTCATCCCACAAATGCATGTTCCCTACAAATGTGGCACCATTTAAAAGGGAAATAAACAGGCTTTCCAACGGTATCAGATTTATTGCCAAGAAGCATTGTTACAACAAAGAAATGATCTACCAAACACAAATTTCCTTACTTTTTGTGCTTAGTTTACATCCATGGCCTTTTCCCTGTCCTGTCCACGAGCACAAACGCCCCCTGTTGCTGATGGGCTGGACGAGTGGCTCGGTCTAGGCCACTTTGTTTTTGTTGTCCATTTACACTGTCAGGGCTGTGTAACAATACTAGATTTTTTTTAGCGCGCACACAGGGGTGTTGTGTGCTTTGAGTTTGACAAAAAGTGTAATGGATTAGAATCGCTGACTGCAAATAGGATGGGCAATATATCGAATGTGCTTGATGTATTGTGGCTTGTTCCACATGGGTTGTATAAAATGACTATATTGCAAACATTGTAAGTTGTCACGTCATGTATTGTAAGCCACTGGCATGGGACTCACTTAGTCACTAGTGGTGCTTTGATTTTTTCAGTTTACCAATACTTTATTTAACTTTATCATAGGAGTACTATATTTAACCTCATTAAAACAGTACTTTATTTAACTGAATTATAGCAGTACTTTATTTATCTGAATTGTAATAGTATCTTATTTACCTTTATTACAACAGCACTTTATTGAACTTTATTATAATAAAGTTCAGTGCTTTATTTAACTTTATCATAACTGTACTTTTATAACAGTACTTTATTTAGCTGAATTGTAACAGTACTTTATTTAACTGTATTACAAAAGTACATTATTTAACTTTATTATAACATTACTATATTTAACTTTATTATAGGCTAACAGTACTTAATTTAACTTTACCTTAACAATACTTTTTTAACTTTATCTCAACAGTACTTTATTTAACTTTATCATAACAGCACTATATCTATATCTATATCTATATAACTTTACTGTAACAGTACTATATTTAACTTTACAATAGGCTAACAGTATTTCATTTAAGTGTATTTTAACAGTACTTTTTTAAACATCATTATAACAGTAGTTTATTCAGTATTTTAGTAGTAGGAGGAGGAGGAGGAGGAGGAGGAGATTTCAAATTACTACGATGTATGTTGTGTTCCTGATGGAGCCTTAAAATATCGCAGTATTTTTTATAGTCCATATCACCCCTTACTGCAACTTTAATGACCTTTACATGTTCCATGAAACATGTAACAACACTGCTGCTATGACCTAAGCTGCTTGCAGCATCATTCTTGCCTCAGGCTTTAAGCTGCTAGTTATTAGTAATTTTACCAAGACCTCAGTGTGCTGTGGGTCTCATAATCACAGTGTAACGTCTTTGTGCTGTTATCATTAGAGTTAAATCTGAGGTTATGAGAGTTAGGGGGAGTGATGAATGTCTGGCGGGGATGAAAGAGCTTCTCTTTGTTTCTGGATCCCCTCGGCTTATGACAGAGTTATTGGTAGTGGTAGGGAGATATTGGAAATGGTGGACCACGGGGTAGCCTTGCTTTGTGTGGTGAGGGTCGATTTAATCAGCTTTAATTAGCATGACACTGAAAAAATTAACAAAGGAGTGTTTATGTGACCTGAGCTGACAGGCTTTAAAGAAGCTGCAGTAAATAACAAATCTACTCAAAGTTATTCCTGTTCTTTAAATATGTGCTCTATTAGCAGTGAAGCTCAAAGGACACAGTTTTACCTGTCACATACTGTCAGCCATTAAATGTGCATTAACACTGCTCTCTGGTGGTGTGACTGTAGTAATGGCACAGTGCCCTCAGACTCCCTCATCTTGCTGCTGCAGTGACGACTTTTCCATCAGAGAATACATAGGTCAGGGATTTCTAACTTCTTTTGTGCATTCATTGAATGACAGTGTCACGTACTGCTGACCTGCTGCTCTGACCTGCTGCTCTCCTCAGGGCGTATGACAGTAGGGGCAGGTTAGTAGGTGTTTAATACTAATTGGCTTAAGTTACTACGCTAACACACTGAACTCAGATGATCTACATGTTAATCATTATACCGGTTTATAATTCAGCTCAAAGCACAGCTGTGTCTCACAGAACAAACAAAGATTCAAGAATAATCCGAAAGGTAAACGTAACTAAGTGTTAGGGAATTTATACTTTTCTTATTTACTACCTGGGTAATCATCTCACAACACTTTAGATTTACCTTGTGTCCCGACGTGGTTGTTCTGACCCTCAGGTTGGGAACCACATGTCTAGGTAAGATGTTCTTTAAAAGATGCACATTGTGAAATGGAGGTTTATATGTCGTTTTATTTTACAGATAGCATGTTTGAGAAGCTCAGAATATACCATAGACATACCAGAGGCAATTTCAAAATGACTATAAATGGATATCTAACTTTTAAAGTGTCTGTGAGGAGTAAGTAATTTAAAAAGCTAGAGGCAGTTCATCTCATGTGCAGTTTTAACAAATGCAAATGCAGACATTAGACAGCACAATACCACCATTATTTCAGACCGCGTTCTGCAGAGCCCAGGACACCTGACACTTGTTTACGGATACAAGGCGCCAGAAAGCACAGGGCAACCGCTCTCTGCCAGCTGGTTCAAGTATCCAACCTGTGGGCCAGGAGGTTTTGCGTAACATAGCCTGGGGTTCCTATTGATAATAATTCCTAGGTGGAGATGGATGGCTGATATTAGGGGAAGTCTCCGGTCGGGCCTCCAGCTCTGTATAGTCATCTCTGGGGTCAGATGTGACCCAGTGACCCTCGGAGGGGAGATCAGTCCAGGCCAAGAAAAGGAGAGAGGCCCTCATGACATTCATCTCTCTGCTTCAGAAATATTAACTGATGCAGCTTTCAAATGAAGGAGCAACATCATGGGAGATTTTAAATCTACTTGTTTATTTTTTTGTTACTTTTAGTCACCTGAAAATAGCATTTAACCACAGTTACAGACTTTTGTTGCTTCCAAAACAGCTGGCTTATGGATCTAGTGGTCTATGAAAACAGAACTGCTTAGAATGAAAAAAAAAACGCAACAAATCTGTTTCCTTTAGATATTGCTGTCTGATTGGCCTTTGACTCAACAACTATAAAACAGAGATTTAATATGTCTCCAGTCTGTGTGAGACAGGCAGGAAAGGCCGGCTTGTTGAAGGTGACCGGAGAGTCTGACCAGTGTTTTGTGCCAAATCAAATTTCCTGCCCTAAAAGAAAAACAAGCTTATCTTTTACTTTTCATTGACAGAAGCGCCACCCAAGACGTAGCCATTTTTAAAGATGAATCCGGCCACTTAAACTCAGTGTATTATGTAAACTGACACAACTTACACTTTCCAGCCATCATTTTTTAATGCAGCTGGGCTACAAAGTTCATAACAGTGAAAGGTGTCCTCTGCTTTTACTGGTGACTGCAAACTGTTAAAGGTTTCCCCAATCAGCTCATGAAACAACAAGATAGAGTCCAATGTCACACATAGGCGTTTCTTCCAAACTGCCTCGGCGGCTCTCCTGGTTCCTTCTGGAGGCTGACGATCTTGCTGTGCTTGTTGCGTGCTGTAGCAAGTGATGCAGCTGCGGAGTAGGAGTATTCAGCTCTGCAGAGAGACAAGAATAAGAAGTGAAAACAAAAACATACTGTATGTTAAGGGAAGCACCCATTGGCATATGACCTTAGTAGAATACACAATAAATGAGACACAATTTGAAAGTAGCAATGCCATGCTAAAATTGTTCTCTTTAGAAAGTAAAAACTGCTAAACAGTCATTTTTAATTGCATTTTTATCTCCCTTCTTTCTATTTGTCTTAGCTTTTTGCTGAATCCACAGTTTAACACGACTGCAGTCTACAGCCATGCTAGCAGCTGTGTAAAGCTGTACTTAGGCATAGCTAAATGCTAACATCTGCATGCTAACATGCTGATGTTGACCATGTTTACTGTCATAGTTTAGCGTGTTAGCATGCAGACAACTTGCTGATGTTGACCATGTTTACTGTCATAGTTTAGTGTGTTAGCATGCTAACTTTTGCTAATTAGCATGAAACAACACAGGTGTAGATCTGGGTCACATGACTTCAACTTGAGTCAGACTGGAGTCACAAATTTGATCACTTAAAGCATGACTTGACAATTCAAAAAGACTTGCACCTCAACTTTGACTATAGTCTCGCTCACCAGACGTTTCTCAAGAAAAGAAAGGTCTGGCTGGGCCGACTCTCACTTTAAGATTGGAGAAAAAAACGCCCCGGCTGCTTGTATTTCTTTCAACCAATCACAGTTGTTCTGGGTGGTGCCACAGCAACGGTGCGCTTGCAAAAATATTGCCGGGGGGAAACAGGTTTTGGTGTAACACGCCCACAAAAATATCACCTACAGGACGTGAACCATGGCAGAAAAATGGCTACATCCCCGCAAGATCAAATACCGCAAAAGTTAGTAAAGGACGTGTTGAAAACTGCTACACAACCGGAGGTGGTAGGGCGGGACTTGAGTGGGTGGCTTGTTCCGCCCAATGGCTGATCTATGCAGCGAACTTCCGCCCACTCAGACTACTTTGACTATGACACTAATGACTCTTAACTTCACATCAATTCATTGCCTTTTATTTGCTGAATCAACTATCAAGAACACGATTTAGTCTCAGCCAGTCAACACTAAAGACCCCAGATTATCCATTTTGTTTGATACAATCCGAAAGTGTCCAATCAAGTTGCAAGAGAGAACCAGGAAGGTATAACGCTATGTTGCTAAGGGGCAGTTGGAAAAAATCATACCGTGATCGTTTTGTTTGCATACAAAAACTACACAGTGGTCAACAATACAAATTGCAAATTCTTATAACAATATAAGAAATTACAATTATTAATTTCAAAAAGCATTCATGGTAATTTGATTGATTAATTGATTTGTAAATTTAATATATTGTTGTTCTGTTGTTAGAATGGCATTACATTGAGTGAAGAAAGCGTTATGACTTATTCAGGACTTGAGACTTAAAGTTTAGGACTTCAGACTTGTCAGTCTCTCTTTGGGACTTAAGTTCAAAGACTTGAGACCTACTTGTGACCTCCCAAACAATGACTTGTTCCCATCTCTGCTAAACAATAAATGGGCTCCATCTGAGGCTGAAAGTCATTAGTTTTGGGGGTATTCAGTCATAATGGACAGTTTTTTAAATGATCTGATGACAACGCTAAAAGAAAAGGGATCATCAAAGTTATTAGTACATCCCGTGAGCACCGTGAATGTTTCTGAAAAAATCATAGCGGTCCATCCAGTGGTGGTTGAGTCTGGCTGCTAGTGTGGCTAAGAATACTTGCATGGATATCCATTTTAAAACACTTCAGTAGAACAAAGAATTGAGGAGACGTGACTTAAAGTGTGACATCCACAACAAAGTGACCACCCACCAAATATCTGTAAACCTCATGTACTGGCCTGAGACCAAATCCTGCTAAATATTTCTAAGGGAAAGTTATCACTATTTTCCAGATGCAACATTTCCCTATAGGTTCCCTCAGTCAAGGTGACTTTGACTTGGGAAAGGTTCTTATTGCTGGACTGCAACAAAGGAAACATTCAGCTGTCAACAGCCACATTACTAATCAAAATGATGATCATGTAACCTGCCCTGTAGGTTCAGCAATTATGAGACAAGATGTTGAGAGAGATTACTGGATGTTTGTTACTGTAACCATCTCTCCATTTCAGTTAAAGTCATTATTTAAATTGCTTGATTGAGTTAGGAACTCAGTGCAGTTTAGAATCTGTCCAAATCAGATTTCCACTAAGGGATCACATTGCTAGCATCCAGCATGTTGGAAAAATGGAGCAACATGCCTGAGACTGAAGCCTTCAGACAAGGAGAGACAGAAGACAAGTCCTCCGAGGATACACAGCACCGATCCAGCCCAGCCGATGAAGAGAGCTGCTCCTAGCTCAAACCTGAAGGGTTAAAGTGGAGAAATTTACGACTGGACTTCCTTTCATCTGAATATGGTTTTGATCCGCTGTCAAACGAGCCTTTCTTTTAATCCTGAATACTTACTTTTGGGCAACAAAGAGGGGGTCAAAGAAGTCAGTTGTGATCCTGTGAGCATATATGGAACATGCAGTCATGCAGCAGAGGCCTGCAGAAAGAAATAAGAGGATTTCTACTTCCTACTGAAATCAAAGCAGAAAGAACTTATAACGTAATTCAGTTAAATGCTCATTTATTCCAAAGTTGAACAGCCTCCTAAAATGCAGTTCAAATCATGCATTCTCTGTAAATCCAGACACAAAGGATGGTAAACGGCATGGGTTGTACCGCTGAGGATGAAGTGGAAGCCTGAGAGGACAGTCAGACGAGCCTTGGTGGTCTCCGAGCCTCCTATTTTCGTGCACTTCATTCCTACCAAGGCCAAGATGGCACCAAAGAACCCCAGACAAACGGAGGCGATCATCAGACCCCGACACACCTGGATATAGGCTTCATGAGAGACACAGAACAGGGATGCATGCTTTAAACCAGTGGTTCCCAACCTATATGTCTTGTGAAAAAAAAGTTATTTCTCAAACTAAGAATTTCACATATTTTAACAAATTTTCTTCTGTCTGAAACACTCCACTTTAGTGCCTGTCTCTTTAGGCCCCACTTCCATAAAAGCCCGTCTGCTCTAATGAGTCATTGCTTCTGGGTCTTCCACATCTGCACTCTCGGCCGCTGACTCACTATCATTGCAAAACCTTCACACTTGGACATGTTCCAGCTGAAATTTGACATGAAACTGGGGCGAAATAAACAACATCGGCAACCAAGATTCCATGTTTCCCTGACATTAACATATAGCTTCAGTTAGCAGTGTAGGCTCCATAATATTAACGCTTTAAGTAGCTTCATTGAAGCAGATGACCATATTAAGAAATAATGCCGACGCCAGCTTGTTGGAAATGGTGAAAACAGAATATTCAGAACAGTCTTTAACTAGCAGGAATTACTTTTACACAACCAAATTCAGTATGAACATCCGACATTGTAACATGACAGAAAATAAGGAAAAGTAACAGGTCGTTTTTAAAGAAATAGTTCGACATTTTACACACTTTTTAACATACCCACTTTGTAGCAGTTAGATAAGTACATAAATAGCACTCTTATGTCTGTATGCTAAATGTAAAGCTACATCCGGCAGTTGGTTAGCTTAGCTTAGTTTAGCTTGGAAATGGAGAAAAGGCTAGCCTGGCTCTTTCCAAAGGCAACAAACCATAGCTCACCAATAACAACATTATATCTTGTTTTAATTTATACCAGAAGTTTGAACACCACAAGCTCAGCTAAGCCAACAGTCTTCTTGCTGTAGCTTCATATTTAGCATACACAGTGGTATTGATCTTCTCAACTCAACGCAAGAAAGTAACAAAACTTATTCTTAATAATGTCAACGTTTTCTTACAGAAGCCTTAAGAGGTGAAATAATTTGTGGCTATTTACAATATTTTTATATTAACCAAGGATCATGTGACTGCTTATATGTAAAGTTGTCGTTTGTAGTGACAAACCCACAGAGAATTATCACCTATTACCACTGGACTTATTTATCAGGTGAACACAAACACGACTCCAAATTAATGCTAATGTCGCTTGATGTGTAAATTGGCAACTGTTTTGCAAACATGTCAGCCATATCAACTTAAAAATGTATATTATTATTATTATTTATATTATTAATATTATTGATATTATTATTATTATTGTTATTATTATATAGCACTTTTCTGGATACTCAAAGATGCTTTACAGAGAAACAACCAAAAAAAAAACCACCTAGAAAACAAACAAAACAAAATATATATAGTGTGTTCACAGCTTGTTTCTGCTGCCCCCAAGTTTCCAAAAAGTTATTACAGGTTTAAAGTGTGAGTGATTTCCCTGATTTTATTATAGCAGATGTGAAAATCTTTTTTCACAAGAAAAAAGCTTTGAAATTTACCATTTTTTTTAACCATTCAGTGACCCCTCAGTTTCATCTTGGCACCTTTTGGGAACTGCTGCTTTAAACCAAAGGCTTGGAGGAAGAGGACAGGAGTTTAAAGCATAGCGCCTATATGAATTAGAATTTATTTTATCAACTGCAGGTACAGACTAATAAGAAGTGGTGTCTTTGAAACTGTACAAATGTTTCAAATTGCCTCAAGACAAGCCTTAGAGTTAGTGCGTGCCAAAGCAAACGTTTCCTTATTGTTACTGGCAACTAATGGGAAGTGACAAGTGACCTCTATGACAGTATGACTTTCTCAGATTGCTTCATTCGGACACATTAGCAGGCTGTATCAGTCCAGCTCAGCTCGTTCACTTACGTATGCCTTTAGTGGCCTTTAACTTTAAATGTTGTTCGTGGCCTGAAGCCGGAGTCAGAGAAGGAAATATCAAGTTCCAAATGCATTTGTTTACAATGGTGGTCATTCATCCAAAAACAACAGGTGTTTTGGGCGTCAGTGCTTCGGTTGGATGGATAACTACAGATGCACAGTTCCTCAGAAACACACACAAAGTACGATTTATCTCAGCTGCCTGACCTCAGAAAGACAACATCAACAACCACGGTCATCTCACAACTCACCATCCAGAGCCAGCATCGAGGGAAAGTCCTTGCAGTTGGACACACCGGTGGAATCAGTCACACACGTTTTCCATAGGTTGGACCAGAAGGTCGCTGTGGTGATGACTGTCCCGTCTACAGAGGACACCTTCCAGTAGTCTGTAGGCAGAGTGGACGACACCAGGATCCACCCTGAGATGGTCAGAATAAATGCAACGATCTCTGTTGCCATGTTACCCATTCTCCCTGTGGCTTGGAGGTCCGGACTGGGACAGGACAGAGATCTTTCCCTCAGGAGTGACACAGAGAGGAGGTGGGAGGGTCGGTCCTGGACAGGTGCGTCAGCATTGGCTGTTCTGCAGAATTTTGCTTCTCCTCCACCTGCTCCACCTTAGAACCAGTACTTTAAAGTGCATGTCATTCACTGACACACAATCAGCTGCTGTATATTGTGTTGGTGTGTGGTGGTGGCAGGATGGGGGGTGCACACGCTAGTCATCACTCCACACAGTGTGCATAGGGTCTGCAAGGGGATCTGCAGGAGGAGGAAGTCTTTAATTGAAAGGATCTGAAATGTCTTTGACAGAGGAGGAACACAAGATGAGGAACAGAGATAGGAGAGATTTGACTGAATGAATGAATTGTGTTTTTCTTATGCTTTTTTCATTGCAGTTCAGTTTGGATTCTTATCGCAATGCTGCATGAGCACTTAGCAGTCGAGTACTTCACGTCATTATTATATCAGCAGCGCTAAATAAAGGCAGTGCAACTGGTTAGAATATTATTCCTTACTGGTTTTACAGCATTATAGCTTCATTAGGTGGCAGAAAGGAGAGAATACTTTAAGCTACCTGAGAGGACATTTCCTGCTCCTAGTTATACTAACTGTGTTCCACTACCCACACTACCATGTATGCCACAAAAAGATTTAGTATGTCCCCATTTTGGCTATTCTTACCCACAAGCCTCTGCGCAACAGGAAGTACATCACAATGACTGGACTGCAAACAGATGACAGCTTGACAGCTGATTGATAGGTGTCAGAAGCTGCAATGATGGATTACAGTGCATTTAAGTGACTGACAACTGGTCAAAGAGTAATAATAGGGTTAGAAATGGTTGAAGTGAAGGAAAAAATCATAAAAATTACCACCAACACAAGGACATAACTACGACAATAACAATGACAGAGAAATGCATGTGTAATTTCTTTGTTGTAAATATGTTAGAATCCACAATGAATGCAGTTATAACTTAGAAGTTCAAACTATATGCATTGCAAAGTAGCAACAGTAGAGCTCTCTGGGTCACTCTCTAGCGAGCAAATGCTGTTTTGTTTTGTCTCCAAGGTAAGACATATATGAGCAAGAGAGTCGAAGTTCAGGGTGTAATATTATGAGACAGTAGTATATCTTGATTGTGTGCGTACTGCATTCAGCAGTATGTACTTCACGAGGGCTGCTGCAATACTTACTTAAAGTAAAAAGTCGTCGGGTCATTAGGTAATTTTTTGGGGTCATTTTGTGCTTTTGTGTCTCTTCTTGGTTGGTTTGTGCCTTTTTAAGGTTGTTTTACCAATTTTTAAGTTATTTTGTATCTCTTGGCAGTTCCTTTGTGGTCTCTTTGTGTCCCTTGCTGGTCAGTACGTGGCAGTTTGATTGACATTTTGCAGGTGAAGGCTGGTGGGAGGGTTACACACACTGGGCCCCTGGGCCTGTGCCCGTCAGGCCTATTCACTAATCCAGTAGACAGGAAATAGTTCCTACATGAAACTGCTCACAACAAGGTCTGTGGATTATCTTGAGTAATCAGGTCATGATTTCTGGAAAGAGACATTGCTGTATGTTTGATTTTGAGGTGAACTGTTCCTTTAAGAGCACACCAAGTGATTAAGTTGAAATTTTATTGCAGTAGGCTGACATGATTTTATTTATTACATAATTGTCATTAACAGTAAGAGGAGCATAAACAAATCAGAGAAGCCTAAGTCAAAAAATACCCCCACAGGCTGGATTACTGTCTGATAAGACACTCAGGTGGCTTCCTGCTGTCCTGTCTCAGCTGCCGAGCAAACAGCTAGTTTCAAACTGGGATGCAAACAGTGACAGGAATGTGAGTCAGAGGAAACACAATCTTTTCCTTCAGTAAAGATTGAGGGAACTCATAAAGTAATTGAAAGGCAGTCATAAATTTACAGATAAAAAATATAACATGTTGAAGTGTGAGAGCATGATTAATCCTCTGAGCAGAACGAGGCAGTGAGCCTGGAGATAAAAGACTATATACATATGATGTGACACTCAGGTGGCTTCCTGCTGTCCTGTGTCAGCTCACTAAGGGTTGCCAAGCAAATAGCTAGCTTTTTAGTTTTAATCAGTGGCTACAGGGTCTGTGCTCAGCCATTAGTTTTAGTTGTATTCATCATTTTGATGTTTTTTGGAATAGGAGGGACTTGTGTAAAAGAGATCATCTTCACCTCAACAAAGTGGGCACACTTTTGCTCACTGCAAATTCTGTCTTTTATTTCTTTTTATTTTGTCAAATGACCTTGATCTCTTCATGATCACAAATTTTTGTCTGTTACAAGATGATCCCTTCCCCCTACTTGAAGCCTCAGAATATGTTTACACTTTTATTAGTGAGTTTGCTGAGCTGGTTTCTGAAATGCTACCTCGTTTTGATCAGCTGCTCATTGTTGGTGATTTCAATGCATGTCTGCTGCCCCTCTGACCAAGTGGGCCGGGAGTTTGTTAGTCTGTTAGAGTCTTTTAACTTAGCATGTGGTTGGTCTGGTCCTACTCACTCAAAAGGTCATACTCTTGACCTTGTGTTATCTTAATTCTGGAGTACCCAGATATCAAATGTGAAGATCCTTTTTTCTCTGACCACCAGTGTCATATGTTTAATATTGTGCTTCCTAATGTTGTTTGTCGCCCTGTTCCTAAAAGGAGAGCTAGAATCTATGCCCTGGATTAATGACAGTATTTGTGATTTTAAGCGAAAGCACCGCAAGGTGGAACGTTTGTGGAAAGTGTCAAAATGCTCAGTTCACTTGGACACACTCAGGTCTCTTTTGAGAATTTTCAATGCAGAGGTTAAAAATTCTAGAGCTGCATGGTTTGCCTCTCTTATTGAGACAAATCAGTCCAACCCAAGAACGCTGTTCAACATTGTGAGCCGTGTCAATGATTTCAGATGCCACCCCTGACAAATGCAAAGAATTTCTTTCATTCTTCAGACGTTGCATCTCTCCTCCAGATTCGCCAATCACGGCCATGATCAGGATCCCTCTGTTCTTTTGCTCCTATTTCGTTAACCTCTCTAGCTGACCTGGTAATGAAGATGAAGCCCTCAACCTATCCTTTAGATTTTCTCCATGTAAAATTTTTAAAGGAAGTTTTTACCACAGTTTCCCCTTATATTTACAAACTTAAACTGCTCTCTATCAACTGGTTCTGTTCCTGTGTTTTTTAAGACTGCCCTGGTTCAACCACTTTTAAAAAGACCGTCTCTTGAGCCATCTGATCCTAATAATTATAGGCCCATTTCTAATCTCCCATTTTTTTGGCAAAGGTTTCAGAAAGGATTGTAGTGGATCAACTTCTGGCTTTCATAAATGACAATAAGATCTTTGAGAAATTTCAGTCTGGTTTCAGAAATAAATCACAGCACTGAAACTGCTAAGGTTTTAAATGATTTGCTACTATTAACCGATGCTGGCCATGAATCCATTCTTGTCCTCCTCGATTTAAGTGCCGCATTTAACCCTATTGACCGTAACACCCTTCTGGACCCTTCTATTGATCCTTCCATTAGTGGCATGGCTCTATAATGGTTCAGGTCACACCTTACAGACAGGTGTTTTTGTGTAGGTATTGCCGATGCCAGGTCTGGTGCAACAGATGCCCACTGTGGGGTGCCTCAGGAGTCAGTGCTAGGTCCGATTCTCTTCGATTTACATGCTCCCTCTCGGCCATCTTATACACAGACATAATATCAGTTTCCATCTGTATGCAGCTGATACTCAGATCTATCGAAGCTGTGATCCAACAAACAACTACCAAAACACAACTAACCTGCTAAACTGCCTTTGTGACATTCACAAGCTGATGTCACAAATCTTCCTCGAGCTTAATAATGACAGGACAGAGATATTGATCATAGGGCAAGATAGTGCAAACATTCAAATATCAAACAGTCTTGGTTCTCTGTCCCACTCAATAACCTCACACTGCAGAAACCATGGTGTCATTTTTGATCAAACCCTCAGTTTAGACAAACATGTAAATTCGGTAGTTCAATCCAGCTTCCACCATCTCAGAAATATCTTGAGAATCAGATCATTCCTTTCCAACAAACATCTGGAAACTGTTATTCATGCATTCATAACCAGTCATTTAGATTATTGCAATTTCTTGCTCTCTGGTTAAAAATCCTGCTACCTGTTGCTTTTAGAATTGATTTTAAGATGTTATTGATTACCTACAAAGCCCTGAGAGGCCTTGCTCCAAGTTATATAACAGATCTTTTATTGCCCTATGTTGAGATCCTCAGATGCATCTTTTCTTGTTGTTCCGAGGTCTAGATTAACTCACAAAGGTGATAGAGCCTTTGCAGTCAGAGTTCCATGACTTTGGACTGACCTCCCTGAGGAGATCAGGGCCACACATTCTGTCTCATCTTTTGAATCACTTCTAAAAATCTAGGATTGAGGGAACACAAACTAATTGAAAGGCAATCATAAATTTACAAATAAAAATATAACATGTTGACGTGTGAGAGCATAATTAATCCTCTGGCAGAATGGGGCAGTGAGCCAGGCAGGCTACTAATTAATTAAATTCCTAATCTTGTGCTGAAAAACTGTTTACAGTGTTGTAGGTCACCCCATTTTATTGCAGAGCTTTTTCAAACAAGGATTAGATCTTAATCTCTGTTTGAAGGGATTGTTTCCGGGGGAAAATAATTACCCCAAACATTTCCAGACACTGTTGCACTGCAGCGACCCTGATCCTGGTGCAGTTTCTGGGGTCATAAAACAGGCACAGGTACATTGTCCCGAGTCAGCATTCCAGGAAAACTAAACCCAGGTGTTGTAATGTCAGTGAAAGACAGTGAGGAGGTGCTGAGAACATTGTTGCGTAAATCTCTAGATATTTGATGCCTTGATGCGTTTCCATGGCCGCTGTTGCTGGGTAATCTCAGAGGGCCTAATCCTATAAATCTGCTAATGAAAGGGCAGCAGCTGGAACA